AGATTCTGATTCCAACCAGTTTTTCTTCCTTTGTTCAGGAGCCTCTGACCAGGGTTGCTACCAGTCGGCCATCTTCCCAGTATTCCTATATATTTGATTCTTAAATTGATTGTGCCTTACATTTCTAGATGTCTAAAGTCAAAAACATAAACTAAAATAAAGATAGGTAGATGCTTAGAAAAGATCCAACGTGCCACAGCTCCACTGAAAGAGTACGGCCTGATGGAGCCAGTCAGTTCTGCCTTGAGAACTCACTAAATTCTTAAGCCATAAGATATGGCTTTTCCTCCAAAGTGGGATAAGGCCACTTGGGAATGAGCGTCCCCAGGGATGTGGGACAAATTTACACCTAAACTGCTGACCATCAATGCTTTCAGAAGAGAAAAATCTCAATCAAAAGGGAGAAATGAGAAAGAAAAGTGACTCAGAGCAGTCTGAAGAACGTGAGGTATGCGAATGAGTATGAGATTTCTGTCACACTTCCCCCAATTGCCTGGGGGTAATTGTTTAGTCACGTTGGCTTTTTTTCCCTCTCCATTCCTATCATTTCCTGACTAGCTGAGATTATCTAAGATGTTACCATAAATTGCACAGTGTGACCCTCATTCATTATTTTCATGTTTCTGGAATGTGTAATACAAAGAGCAATGTATGGCCAATCAATAGCTTATGTTCAGCTTATGAACTTCCTCTTTTTTCTTTTAAAAACCTACTTGTAGCCACTGCTGGTCAGAGCAGATACTCAGCACAGCTTGAATCTACGTATCCTGGATTGAAGTCCTCAAACTTGGCCGAATAAACTTTCTATTTACATTAATTTTGCCTCAGTTTCTTCCTTTGGGTTGACAAAGTTAATTCCTTACAATGTCTTATTTATAAATTAAACTTTATCATAGGTTTGTTTATATTTATAGGAAAAAACCCATAGCATATGTAGGGTTTAGTGCTATCTGCAGTTTTAGGCATCCACTAGGGGTCTTGAAACATATCTCCACTGGATGGGGGGGGCGCTATAGTTATTGCCATGTTTTCTCAATGGAATTTCTGGTTTTATTGTAATATGCCTTTTCATGAGGGGCTACAGAGTGACCCCCAAATGCAGAAGGAGCCAAGAAATCAAAGAATGAGGCAGACATATCCAGTTTATGGGATAGGGTGATTTATTGAGGGGAATTTACAGACAGAAGTTTGGTTTCAGGTGGCTGCGAGATAGGTAAATCTTTGCACATTACCCCTAGAGCCAGGGATAATATACCATTGGGAAAGGGTATATATGCTTCAAGGGGAATATGTAGGAACTTGCTTGAGGGCAGAATTTAAGCTAAATACTTTCTCTTAACACAAGGAAAAATGGATAAAATACTAGAGGCATTCCTGAAACTGGGGTTAAACAGAAATGAAAATGGTGGCTTCGCATCTAAGACAGAGTTACTGTAGCCTCCGCATATCTGCTGGGGCTGCATGGTGTGATCTGGCGATCACATGCTTCATCTCGTGATTTCTCACTTTTCACAAGAGCCTCTGAGGTGGTTACTGCTCCTCCCTTTAGGATGAGGATGCTCAGGCCTTGACCGGTGAGCCAGCACGTCTGCAGCCACAGAGCCAGAGCTGGGTGTGCTTGAGTCGCAGCTCTGCATATGTGTCCTTGGTGCAGTTGGGACAACCTGGAGGCAGAAGTTGGGCCTGAGGGTCCACAATAGGAGTTTTAGCAAATTAAACATGTCATGACTTTAAACATGTTATCCTATTTCCCTATATCCCTACGTCCCTGTGGTGAGCATTTATTCTCTGGCAAAAGAAACACTTGAGGAAACAAGTTTGAAAAGAACACCAGGATTACTGGGGGCCTATATGGGCTTGTTAAAAACAAGTCACGGCTTCATGACCTCAGTTTCTTTGGGAAGTTATTCTGGGCCCTAAGGCTTGGTGCTCTTAAATACAGTGCATGGTGAGTTCTGTAAGACATTTGACAACATTTCTAATTATGTTGCTGTGGACAAAATGGAAACATGGCACTGCCTGGTGGGTGGTGGTGCTGGTGGGGGTGGTGATTACAATTAGGTGGACATAAAGCAGGCCGGGCTCTCGGGCCCGCAGTTTGAGTGATGACTGTGTTTGATTTAGACACGTTCTCCATACCATGGCTACAGGGCTCTGTTTGTGGCTTTGGCAGTTCATTTTAATCAATGACCTAAATTGCGGAAGGCAGATATGTGGGAAAAATCTGGGGGAGAAAGCTGTTCTCTTTGATGAGAGGTTTAAAGCAGCCACTGGAATGTGACCGAGCCAGGATGGTGGGTCCTGAAGGCACAGTGGTGGACCCCATGTGCCCCTGTGGAAGAAGATCAGGTTTGTCATGGGAATTAGCAGAGAGGATGACAACACTTGTAAGCTTCCTCTACCATTGGAGGTCCTTGGGCAGACTTCTCAGAGTCTCAGAGAAGGTAATCCTGAACGCTCAGGATGGATCTTTCTTCTTTCACAGTGCTCCCCACTCACTTTTCCACCAGCTCACTCATCCATGCCCCCACTGCCATCTACTCATCTACTTCATCAGTCAATCCACCCCTTCTCCCCCCTCACAACCCATCCATCCAACTACTCATCTGCTAATCCACCCAACTATCCATTTGCCCAGGCATCCATACACTCACCCATCATCCATTTATCCATTCATTCCTCCAACCATGCATGCATTCACCCATGCATTCACCCGATCATCCATTCTTCCATTCATCCACCTATCCTTTTAATCTCTCGTCCATCCAACTAATAGCCATCCCTCCACCAATCCCCTATCCATCCAATCATCCTCTTGTACAGCAACCCAGGCACTGTACCAGGGATGGAGAGCCAACAGATGAATGGACACAACTGCTTTTAAAAACCTCATAGTGCATTCATGCGTGAGCATGTGTGTGAGTGGGAAAAACCAAGGAAAGAGTCAGAGAGTGAATGATAGTGGGAGGTTTTTAGAGTCAAGCCAAGGGTGGAGAAGGAAAGCCACAGAGGAATTCAGTACATGGTAAGATTCACATGTTAGGACCATGTCCTTGGTAGCTCTGGGCGGGAAGAGAGCAATGAGAGGCCGATGGTTGGCAATGTGTTCCAGCAGCCCCCAGAAAGGGCGACATTGCCTGGGGGGCAGGAGGGGAAAGGTCAGGGAGGGCTGTGGGGTGAGGCTTTCTCCTTGTGAACTTTCATGCTGGGGACAGGCCTGCATGGTGTTCAGGATTGGTTGGATATTTCAAAGTCAGAAGCAGATCAGGCTGAGGCTCTGGGCAGCCTCAGGGTTCTAGAGGCCAAGACATCATTACTACCTAATAAATGGTATTCTTTGATTCCCCAGCCAAGGCACCCCTCAGTGCTTCCCCCTCCTACCATCTGTGCTTCCTCTGACCTGCTCTCCCCATTTCCCAGAATTACGAGAGCTGACAACAGCCAAGGGTCAGGAGAGAATAAGTGAATTTCCTGCTTGTAAATCACTGGAGGAGCACAGACCATTCTTTGCAGTTTCACCCTGACCGGCAGCCATTTATCTGGATAATGCATTTATTTATAGCTGCTCCACTGTTTTGCATTGAGATATATGTGCAAACCAAAGTGCTGATGATTTTCTGGCAAACATCAAAGGTAGGAAGAGAAAATGAAATTGGGCATATTAGATTATTTGGTATTGAATTCAACATCTGCAGCTTCTCATTTTTCTCCATCACCCACCTTTCCTACAAATCAATTTACAAGACTTCTGTTGGAAATATTACTTAGTATCAAAATCTGTGGGCAAAGCCCAGCTGTGGCCATCATGCTCCTAGTGGAAGGTGGTGAGATGTTGAGCGGGGTGCTGCCGGGATCATGCCAGGGCAGGAGCACAGACACATATACACACATGCACCTGCAGGGTGACGCAGAGCCACTGGACGAGTGGCCAGTGATGGGGGAGTAAAG